ATTTAATAATATTTAGTTTATATATATTTATAAGTATTCAATTTACATATATATTTATATTTATTTAAGTTATATATATAGTTGATATATATATTGGTATATATTTAGTTTATATTTATATATTTATGTATGTTTAGTTTACATATATATATATATATATATTTAGCTTATATGTATATGTATATTTAGATTATATATATATTTATATAAATTTAGTTTATATTTATATATATTTAGTTTATATGTATATATTTATATATATTAAGGTTTCATATATATATATTTATAAATATACATATATATGTGTGAGTAAATACGACGCAAAAGTCGGAAAAAAAACTGTCTCACATGTCCTCTTGTTCTGTCCCCCCCCTCCTCTGCAGACTGGTCCTGGGGAAGCCTCTGGGCGAGGGCTGCTTCGGTCAGGTGGTCATGGGGGAGGTCCTGGGTCTGGACAAGGAGAAACCCAACCGTGTGACCAAGGTCGCCGTGAAGATGTTGAAATGTAAGACGGCGTCGCTGGTCCCTGGTCCCTGGTCCCTGGTCCGTACCATCGACTCGGTCGTCGTTAATATATATATATATATTTTTTTTTTTTCTCGTCTTCTTCAGCGGACGCCACGGAGAAAGACCTGTCGGACCTGATCTCGGAGATGGAGATGATGAAGATCATCGGGAAACACAAGAACATCATCAACCTGCTGGGAGCCTGCACGCAGGACGGTAGGTCGCGTCAAAGGTCGAAAGGTCAAAAGGTCGCGTTCTGACCTAGACACGTTATGACATCACACTCCGGGAGGGCGGGGCTCGAATTACGACATACCCAAATTTTTTTTTGCCACCAAATTTTTCCTTACTGGTTCCATCGGTAGAATTATCCGATAACGAGCCGAAATATAGTTATCGTAAGCGTCCTGTCGCTTCCTCGTATTACGAAACGCTAACTTCCCTTGGGAACGACGTTGCTCTCCTCTCTCCGATAGTTTGCTGACGATCATGTGCATAGATATATATGTATGTATTATATATATATATAGCTACCATCCAATATAGTTGACGATACAGGGGGCAACGATATGATATATTGTGATATATTGAAATATATCGCAATATGTCTCAATATATTGCAATATATATCACAATATATCTCAAAATATTGTGATATATTGCAATATATCTCAATATATATCGCAATATATCTCAATGTATTGCAAAATATCTATATGTTATATAAATAGATATTGTCCAATATAGTGGACAATACATATCAAGATACAGGGGCAACGATACACTATATATTGTGTTATATCACAATATATATTGTAATATATCACAATATATATTGCAATATATCACAGTATATCGCAGCATATCACAATATATTCAGATATCTCAATATATTGCAATATATTTTGATATACTGCAAAATATCTATATGTTATATAAATAGATATTGTCCAATATAGTGGACAATACATATCAAGATACAGGGGCAACGATACACTATATATTGTGTTATATCACAATATATATTGCAATATATTTTGATATACTGCAAAACATCCATATGTTATATAAATAGATATTGTCCAATATAGTGGACAATACATATCACGATACAGGGGCAACGATACAGTATATATATTGTGATATATCACAATATATATTGTAATATATCGCAATATATTGCAATATATCGCAGTATATTGCAAATATATATCACAATATATCACGATATATTGTGATATATTGCAATATATCTCAATATATATCTCAATATATTGCAATATATTTTGATATACTGCAAAATATCTATATGTTATATAAATAGATATTTTTCTGAAACCTTTCAGTTTTTTTTACTGGTCCAGACCTCGTGTTTCTGACGAGTACCTCTCTTTCCCCCCCCACCCCCGGGTTCCAGGTCCTCTGTACGTGATCGTGGAGTACGCGTCCAAGGGGAACCTGAGGGAGTACCTGAGGGCCCGCAGGCCCCCGGGGATGGAGTACTGCTACAACCCCGACCAGGTCCCCGTGGAGAACATGTCCACCAAGGACCTGGTGTCCTGTGCGTACCAGGTGGCCCGGGGCATGGAGTACTTGGCGTCCAAGAAGTGCATCCACAGGGACCTCGCCGCCCGCAACGTCCTGGTGACGGACGACAACGTGATGAAGATCGCCGACTTCGGCCTGGCCCGAGACATTCACCACATCGACTACTACAAGAAGACGACCAACGTGAGTCGAACGGCGTCTTTGGACGGGTTCGCCGAGTCGCGATGTATCATAATGTATCTCAATATATTGCAATATATACATATCACAACGTGTCGCAGTGTATCACAATATATTGAGATATATCGCAATATATTGCAATATATTTTGAGATATCTCAATATATTGCAATATATTGCTATATATTGCAATATATTGTGATATATTTCGATACATCACAATATATCTCAATATATTGCGATATATATATCACAATGTGTCGCAGTATATCACAATATATTGAGACATATTTCAATAAATTGAAATATATTATCTCTCAATATATTGCAATATATTGAAATATATTGTGATATATTTCGATACATCACAATATATCTCAATGTATTGTGATATATCAATATATCTTAATATATTGTGATATATTAATATATCTGTATATATTGCAATTTATTGCGATATACTGTGATATATCACAACATATCTATATATTATATATGTAGATAATGTCCAATATAGTGGACGATACAGGGGCAACGATACAATATATTGTTATATATCGCAATATATCTCAATATATCTCAATGTATTGCAATATATATCACAATATGTCGCAGTATATCACAGTATATTGAGATATATTGCAATATATCGTGATATATATTGATACATATCACAGTATATCTCAACATGTTAGAATACATCAGTATATCTCAATATATTGCAATATATCAATATATCTCAATATACTGCGATATTCTGCGATATATCACAATATATATATATTATATATATAGATATTGTCCAATATAGTGGACAATACAGGGGCAACGATACAATATATTGTAATATGTTGCAATATATCGCAATATATCACAATTTATCTCAGTATATCTCTATGAATTGCAACATATATCACAATATATCACAGAATATTAAAATATATTTAGATATATTGCAATATATTGAGATATTTTAATATATTGCGATATATCGTGATATATTTCGATATATCACAGTATATCTCAATATATTAGAATACATCAGTATATCTCAATATATTGCAATATATCAGTATATCTCAATGTATTGTAATATATTGCCATATATAATAATATACCTATATATTGTATATATAGATACCGTCCAATATAGTGGACGATACAGGGGCAACGATACGATATATTGTTATATATTGCAATATACCGCAATATATCACAATTTATCTCAATACATCTCAATATATTGTAATATATGTCACTATATACATAGGCGTCTTTAACAGTTCACCGACACGTCAGACATGGCAGGGGGGCGCTCTAACCTTCTGACCTTCTGACCCTCTGACCTTCTAACCTTCTGACCTTCTGACCTCTTGTGCAGGGCCGTCTGCCGGTCAAGTGGATGGCTCCGGAGGCGCTGTTCGACCGGATATACACCCACCAGAGTGACGTGTGAGTGTGGTCACCGTGTCCCCGACCCGTCTTCCTATTGGTCGGCGTTGAACCTCTGACGTGGTTGTTTCCGCAGGTGGTCCTTTGGCGTCCTCCTGTGGGAGATCTTCACCCTGGGGGGGTCTCCTTACCCCGGGGTTCCTGTGGAGGAGCTGTTCAAGCTGCTGAAGGACGGTCACCGCATGGACCAGCCGTCCACGTGCACGCACGAGCTGTGAGTCCGCCGGCTAGCGGCTAGCGCCTTTGGCTACTGCGAAA